ACAGACAGCACGTGGTCTGCAATCGTTTAAATTTTAACGAAGGAATCCTTTGACATTTATAAAAAATATATTTGTTTCAATATATTATGCAAAATAGTATCAAATAAACAAACAGCTTGTATATGAGGCGTCTCATATCAAAACTTGTCTTATCCACGTTATGAAGTTTCTTGTAAAATCGAAAAAACCTTTACCGAAGTTATTTTTTTTACGAGAGAAAAGGTACACCAAATGTTATATATATATATATATATATATATATATATATATATATATTATATATATATATATATATATATATATATATATATATATATATATTATATGTATATATATATATAAGGTTCTTGAACTCCTAAGTGGAGCATAGAGCTTCAGTGAAAACGCGCCATCGGATTCTATTTTGCGCTAACGCCTTCACCTCATTCCAAGACGTTCCTTGTTTTCTTATCTCGTCCATGATGGATCTTCTCCAAGTTTGTACTGGGCGACCTTTTTTTCGTTTTCCTTGGGGATTCCACTCTAGGGCAGTCTTTGCAATACTGGAGTTATTTTTTCGGAGTGTGTGACCGATCCAACCCCACTTTCTGGACTTTATTTCATTTACTACCCTCTTTTGTTTGATCAGTTGTAGTAAATCTTCGTTTCTGATGATGTTAGGCCAGAAAATACGAAAAATTCTTCGTAGACATTTATTAACAAAGACCTGCAGTTTGTCTGTAAGGGTTTTTGTCGCTTTCCAGGTTTCACATCCGTAAAGTAGTACAGACATGACATTTGACTGGAATATGCGGATTTTTGTCCTCGTAGTGTAGTCTCCAGACCTCCAAACAGGGTTGAGCATGCTGAAAGCTTGTTGCGCTTTTCGTATCCTCATACGAATATCGTCTTCTGTACCTCCGCTTTCTGTTATGACACTTCCAAGATACGTAAAGTTTTCCACATTTTCAATCTGCATGTTATTAATGGTGAATAGCGTGTTGTTTCTTGCATTTATTCTCATGGATTTGGTTTTACCAATATTGATTTTCAAACCTATTTTATTGGCTTCAGTGGAGAATGTTTCCAATTGGTCAGCCACATCTTGGAACCTTTGTCCTAACAGGCAGATATCGTCGGCATATTCTAGATCGCTTAGGCGTGTGGTTAACGTCCATTGTATTCCTCTTGTGTCAGAGTCTAGTTTGGAGAGAACATAGTCTAGAGCTATGTTAAAAAGAAACGGAGAAAGCACGCATCCCTGTCTGACTCCAGTAAGTACGTCAAATTCGTCACTGTTGATCCCATTGTGTGTCACGCTGCATTTCGCTTCAGTGTACAGTAACTTTATGATGGAAATTATTTTATGCGGGATGTTTCTTAGCTCTAAAATTTTCCATATCGCATCATGAGATAAACTGTCAAAAGCACGCTCGAAATCAACAAAAACCTTGTATAGGGGTGTGTTCCATTCAACCGATTGTTCCATTATTAGCCTCACAGTATTAATGTGGTCTATGCAGGAGGATTCTGGTCTAAAGCCTACTTGATTAGCTCGAAATTCAACCTTGTTTGTTAATCTTTTAAGTATGATGGTCGTGAAGATTTTATTTATGGCGGTAAGCAAGGTTATTCCTCTCCAATTTTTGCATAGTGTGAAGTTGCCTTTTTTTGGAAGCTTAATAATGATGCCTTTTTTCCAGCCCGCTGGAATGCGGTTTGTTTCCCACACCTCTCGGATTATGGGGAGCAAAAGTTCAGCAGTTAGATGCGGATCAGTTTTAAGCATTTCGGCAGCAATGTTATCGATTCCCGGAGACTTGTTATTTTTCAGAGATTTGATAGCTGTTATTATCTCTGTTTTGGAAGGGCGTCGCAAGATATACGCAAGTCTATATTCTGTGGATTTTCGACAATTTCATCTGCGTTATCCCTGGGCGTGCCTAGCATCTCCTGAAAGTGCTCTTTCCATCTCTCTATTTGGTCATTTGTTGTAGTAAGTAATTCTCCTGTCTTGGATCTTACGACGTTTGAACAGTTGGGCCCACTTTTTGTTATACGTCCAGTAATTTGGTATAGCTCTCTAGTTCTATTGTGTTGTGCAGCTATTTCGGCTTGTTTTGCCAGTTCTTCAGCCCATCTTCTTTTGTCTCTTCTTGCATTTCTTTTAACTGCTTTATTTATTGTTTCATATTCTTGTTGTCGGTTCGCTCTTTCTTCTACAGTTCTTGCTTGCAAAATATCTTTTTTTTGCTGTTTTCTTTCTCACACCAAGTGTTAATATACAATAAAATGTAAGAAAACTTAAACATTAATTTATTTAAACATACGATATCATCATTTTGGTAAAAAAAATAAACAAAAATGGATAAGGCAAGTTTTGATCCGTCAATTTGGATTTGGCAAGTTATGCTACAAAAAAAAATAAGAATCCCACTGGGTTTATGGAGGAAGTTTTTTTTTATTGTTGTTTAAATACATTATTTCAAGCAAAATATAATATATTGTAAACTAAATTCTAAGTATTTATCGTCTTCTGTTCTCACTGGCTCACAAATATGGTCTTCGTCAAGAACTTTTTCAGAATTAGGTTCTATCAATGGTTGCGCTATTCCCCCTAAAACATCTTTAAAGAACTTTAAATTATTCTCCTTTGTTTTTCCATTCCCTTCCAAAATGCTTCTCCAATAAATTATTTACATCCGCTAACTTGGCAGGTTTTACTGGTACACCCATTGGAATAACTTCTGGAGAAAGCTGCTCCAACTTTTTGCCTTTTTTTTAAATTGAATTGGGTATTCCAGTGTCCGAGCAATAGAAAGGTTCTCCCTGAACCATAACATTTCCACTACGATTTTTTGTTAGTATAAATCTCTTGGCATCGGAAAAGTTAAAATGCCAGGAGCCCACGGGTTTTAGAAAATCACCAACAGCAGATTTCCAGTCCATAACCAGATAATCTTGCCCTAAATCTCTTACAGTGCCGTGTTCCTTAAATAGGTCCAAATATATTTTAGGATCAATGATAGTTGAAATTTTTTTAAATTCTTTTTCAATTCGTCCGAACACCCTATCAGGTGGTTAATATGAATGTCCAGGAACAGGAAAAATTATTTCTATTGTTTTAATGTTAGGTGGTGCAACCTTAGAAAAAAAAGTAAGAGAACATACCTATCATTGTTGAATTGCGATTTTGTCCACCGCATCCGTCAGCACACAGTCGTATAAGATGACAAATCAGCTTGTGATAGTGCATGATAAACTGCTGAAGAGATTTCATTCGAACCTTTCTTATGTTGATGTTCCATCCAAGTATAAATATGAACGTTTTCTTTAGACATTTTTGCTCTGGAGGATCCTTGAACCACAGTAAAGTTGTAGGTGTATAACTGTAACTGTCTGCTGTAATAGGCAATTTGGTTAGGGACCTTGGGATTGACCAAATTCTTTTGACAGTCAAATCAATAGGTTATTAAATTAGGATCTAACTTCTTAAGTTTGTCAAAAAAAGCATTGGCTTTTAGCTTATGTACCCTTTTTTCTATCAAAAGTACATTTTTTTTATCGACGTCTTTTTCTAATTTAATTTTTTCAGAAATCTCAATGCATTTGGAACACGTTTTAATATTTCTCGTATCCACTTTGATTTGTCTCCAACAACTTTTCTACTTCTACCTCTCTCTGCTGACTTTATTTTTTTGCTCCATGTTTAGACCAATGAATTTCGTAGGATTTCAAAAAGTAGAACTTGAATAAATTTATCAAATAAAACACAATACAATGAACATATTAGTATACTGCACAAACGTTTGCTAATATACTGCCTCAACAACCGAATAAAAATAAAATTGTCAGTTTGGATCACGTGCTTCATGTTTCCCGCATTCTTATAAGCTGTGTGGATCAGGCGAGTTTTGACACATAAGATGCAGTGGATAAGGCGAGTTTTGCGCTGACAACAATATTTTGTCGATGAATATTAATGGGATAAAGCAACATTTGTTACGGAAATATTACTGTAAGAGGAGCATATCAAAAGAATACGTTACCATATTAACCTAATTTTTCGTAAAATTTGGATAAGGCGAGTTTTGCTATGAGACGCCTCATATAAACTAAAGAATTACGATTTGGGTGACATTATTATTCTCGTATTAGTGTTTCACTTGTTTATAATTACTGCCTTGTATAGTTGCGGTTTTAGAACGTTTTAATGCGGTTTGATCCCACCAGTTTTTTTACAACCGACCTGATGACTGTGTCGAACCACACCAGAAGCGTTTTAGTGGGGAATTAGTTCGTTAGTAGGGTGTACTGATATATGATCTAAAATGTGTAAGAAGTATTTTATTGGTAACGAGATTCTTTCACTTTTTGTGATTGTTAAAAAAAAAACAAATTAAAATCAGCTGCACATCTTCAAGTGAGCATAATATAGAGTTAGAACAAGCATGGCAGCAAGTGACATCAGTTATAGAATAAGTAGCCAAGGAAACCATTGGAAAAAAATTTGGAAATGAAAACGAAAAAAGATTGAAAATGCTATAAGACCGCACAGATGAGAACAAAGCAGATTTTAATAAGACAAGAGCACAAACAAGGCGACTATTCAGAACTAAAAAGAGGAGCTACCTAGAACAGCAAATCCGGGAAATGGAGAGAAGTGGCGAGAGGAATCATAGAGGATGGAGGGCGATAGTGGATGCGACGAAGTTGTAAAGCCAGTGAAGAAGAATGAAGAAGAAGAAGCACATCTTCAAGGATTTGTCATCAGCTATGCCTCATATACATTTTAGAACTTTCAAAAACTGTATTAGATTTCTAGATTTTTACGTGAAATCGATGTTTTTTTTTCACAGATTGACTGGGGTAACTAAAGATATATGTATGAACACCCGCAGATTATATCGATCCCAGAGCGGCGCTGATTAGACTCTGATCTGTTATTATTTTTAAAAATATATTAAATTGTTCATCGTTGTTCTTCATACTTTACATATCATTTTTTTTTTTACTTCTAGTTGGCCGATTTTGGATTTAGTAACCAATTCACAGAAGGTTGCTTGCTATCTACCTTCTGCGGTTCTCCTCCTTACGCGGCACCTGAACTATTCCAAGGCCTCAAATATGACGGGCCTAAGGCAGATATTTGGGTAAGTGGATAATGTTATAGATTACAACAGTATCTTACGTAGATTAGTAGAAATCTCAATGTCAAAAAATGAAAAACATTTCAAAACAAATAACAATAGATAACAATTAAATTATTGATTATTAAATACTTTAAATATCATTATTAGATTATGAAAGTTTTTATTCTATAGTCGTTTTCACATCACGTGACTTAACATTATAGAAAATGACTTTGCCAGACCACCATAGGCGTATCAATGGAAATTATTATTCATTTTTCTCAAAGTTAAGTCCTGTTCAGTTCCTGATGTTAAGCAACCAAGAAAACATCTTTTTGCTTGTTATAAAAATGGGGCCATGTTTCCTATTACTATTAATTGCGGAATGAAATATTCGTCAGGGTTCAGGGGTTCAGTATTATTCTGAAAAATCAAAACACTTTCAGCTGATAGAGTTGTTATAGTACCATTTTGTTAACTTTAATCTTAGTTGTTAGTCTAGATATCAGACTCAACGAGCAATAAGGTAGATTTATGATGTTGTTCTTGGGGTTGGGCGATTCTTCACCTTTTCCGGGATTAAATTTACGTTTAATTTAGTTTCCTAGATACTGATACTTGTAAACTGGTTCCAATATGTTGTTATTTATTGCCGTAAGTCATGAATCGTTTTGTAATACTTGTGAGTTGGGTTTTAGTAATTCTTTTGTGGTCCTCATGCTTTTCGATTTTTTAGAGTTCGTATTGCGTCTTCGACTTCCATCATCATTCTGACTTCCATCAACCCTGCGTGGGTCATAGCCTCCTCAAGAATTTCTCTCCAGTCGTCCCTATCCATCGTCTTTCTCCGCAAAGTACGTATTCCCATATTTCTCATGTCTTCATCGATGTTATCAAGGAACTTTGTTCTAGGTCTTCCTCTTCTTCTTTGACCAATGGTCCATCAAAGAGCGTTTTTCTAGCTGAGTCATTTTGTTCCATCCGCATTACATTCCCTATACACCTCAGACGTCATATCCTAATATGTTTTACAATATTAGGTTCCTGGTATATTCTATAAAGTTCGAAGTTGTATTGTCTCCTTTACACTCAGTTCAGGTTTCAGACAGTTACCCCTGAATTGGTACTCTACATTCAACTTTTTCAAGAGTTAGTTTTGTTAAATTTACCAACTGATTTGATATTTCTAGTTCTTTCATTGCTTTGAACATTTCTCTTCTTTTCACAGAGTCGTAGGCTGCTTTGTAGTCTATAAATATGTGATGAGTATCAATCAGCCAGCCTGATATTTTCCTACTATTCGTTCTGCATATGGTACCATACGGTGACATAGTACTGTGGAAAATAAGCTGCTGTAATGCCATTATGATATCATAGCCACCTCCTATATAGTTCAGCTCGGAGATTATCTATTCCGGGTGATTTATTTCTGGCTAGTTTTTTTAACTTCATCTTTATCTTAAGAATCATTGAAGGTTCCTCTTCCCTCTCGTCTGTTCCTCTTACCTTATCTCTTTCGTCTTCTAGGTTTTCTTCTTCCTTCCTATATTAAGTACCTGATTAAAGTATTCCATCCATCTATTCAATACATCTTTCCTTGTTATTAATAGGTCACCATTCTGACTTCTGCATTGTCTTGTGATTGCCTTAAATTTTTTTCTGTTGATGTTAACTTTCTTGCAGAAAGCTCTGAATTCTTTCTCTCGATTGAGGTTTTCTATAAATTTAAGTTCCTTATTTAAGTGGTTTCGTCTTTGTGTAGCCTCTTCGCTTCTCATCTCTTTGTCTGGTAATTGTCTACAGTTGTTCTAGTTTGTCGGGTAAGCATCTTTCTGCAGGTTTTTTACCGTTTTCCATGCTTCTGTTGATTTTGCTGATCTTATATATTTGTTGAACTCTTCACATTTATTTTCCCAGGAAATATTTGTTGACTTTAGTTACTCGATTTTTTACCTCTCTGTTTGATCTTGCATATATTCATCTATCATCTGGGTCATTTGTTTGCAGCTACTTTTGATATGCTCGTTTCTTGTTGTCTACTGCATTAGCGATGACATTTGTCCAACACAATGTTTATTTTTATATTTTATAGAATGTTTTCTATACAAGACAGAATTAATGTTGATAATCTGCGCATTGAAACCGTTGCGAGAGAATATAGGAGACAACTCAATGAGGAAATAGAGAGCCTGGAAGCGGGGAAAAATGTGGAGGAATTGTGGACAAACTGTAGAAATATAATAACTGACAAGGTATCGGAAATATTAGGAAAAACCAAACCAAATATTCGTTATACAAAACGAATGGTTTAACGAGGAGTGCCAAGAAGCAACAGAAAACAAAAATAGAGATACCCAAAGACAAATCAAGCTAGATGCACAAGAAGAGGAAAGGAGGAATACCGAAACCTAAGAAGGGAAGAAAAAGATTACATAGGCAATTTGAAGAAAAGCAGTTAGAAAACATAGAATGGCTAAGAAATCAAAACGAAACTCGAAAGTTCTTCAGAAATGTGAACAAAATGAGTAAAGAGTTTAAGCCAAGAATAGGGCGCTGTAAGGATGTAGAAGGAAATATTTACAGTGATACGACCTCAATCTTGAACCAAAATTTAACGGCCATTATATCGAAGAATCTTCATTTTTGGAGATTCTCTCTTAAAAGTGGAGATGGGCAGGACATGTTGCAAGAATGAAAGACGACAGTTGGACAAAAAAATTGCTTGGGTGGAGACCACGGGCTGACAAGCGAAGCCGAGGAAGACCCCCAACGCGATGGACCGACGACCTCAAAAGAATCGTGACCAATTGGATAGCAGAGGCGCAGAACAGAAGCAGATGGAAAAATCTAGAGGAGACCTATGTTCAACAATGGACAACTCAGGGCTGATCGATGATGATGATGATGATGATATCGAAGAATAACACCGAATGATTGGAATCTATTCAGCCCAAACGAAAGACCACCTACCACTAAAGAGGTTGCCCATGCCAATAATAAGCTTAAAAATAATAAAGTACCAGGAACTGATCAAATTTATAGTAGAACTACAGAGGCATACAAAGGCATACAGAAGTTAGAGAATCGATGGGAACTGGTAGTGGGGCTGATGATGTTTACAAGCCTGAGTGGCCTTTTTATGATATAATCAAACAATACTGTCACGGAACGACGGAACCTACACACACTGGCACGGACCGTAGGAAGAGCTCTGTCTGCGGTGCGTTGCCGTCCGTGCTGATCGGCTGTCCGAGATGATCTGTAGAATCGCCGATCGTGGTGGGAAGCCACTTTAAGAAGTCCACAAATTACTCTAATTATAATTTTTGGCGCGCGATTGGTATTTTCATTATTATGTTATTATACATACAGTTTTGTTAATATTCGACCCTGGTATTTAATAATTTAACTATTATCTTTCGCAAAACGCGAGGTCCACGATTTTTGCAATGTATCACTCTGTAAATTCCCCAAATTTATATCTAACTGTTTGTGTAGCAATTTATTTATTTACTTGGTGGTCATATCTGGTAATTAGCAGATTTTAACCAGTTTTGTCGGTTGGTTTCTTAATGATAATATACTCGAATATGTGTATTTTTTATTAATAACAATATAACTCTCGCAATAAAATCTGTTTGATTTTTGTTATGACGTATTTGATTATATGAATATATTATATATCAAAGGTTCATCTTTTGTTTTACGATGATAAAAATACGTGTGCGCTCTATATTTAATCCATGATGATCAGCCGAATCAAATCTCAGCCTAAATCTAGGAATGGTACAGATAACCAGGAAGAAAAACATAAGCTCATAATTAAAGAAACATGATCATCTGTGAAACTGGTTATCTGATTTTCTTTTCGGAAGTAGTCTGTTATAAAGCGGTGGTACTACAGTCAATTGGTCTATTGTACATCTTCCATTCACTCATGTTGCCCATTCCAGCATTCTAGAACCCTGTATCAACTTTAGCAGTCTGGAGGATGGATACCATAGGTTTTTTGGAGTCATATGTGTCACGCTTAAGTTCCGCTAATATGTCTAGTTCTTTTCGGAATTCTCACTTTAATATAGGGTTCGCCCCATCCATATCATGTTCACCTGGAAATATATATCTGGCTGATAAATATTTAGTGAGGTTTAGATAGGTACTTAGAAAACTTGCTATCCTTTATAAAAATAAGAGGATGAAGATGATTGAGATAGAGACAAAAGAGTTAAGATTGGATATACAATAGTTTATAACCATCTAAAAAAGAGATAGATACAGAACTTCTTAAAGAACGCAAAGAACAATACATAAACCAGCTAAAAAGAAGTGACATATCACAGCTAAAGGGTCTGCAACTAGACGAATTAAACGATAAAATAACAACAGAACTACTAGAAGCAGGCCTGAAGATTGCTAATAAACAAAAGCGAAAACAACAAAAAATTAGCGCTAAATCACAAGATATGCTAAAAAAACGACGACAACTACTGAATGATCACAAAAGAAATACAGTGGAGTATACCGAACTGAATAAAACCATAAGAAAACAGATAAAGGAAGATTTAAAGAAATACCAAGAAGACCGCATTAAGAAAATCATAGAGAACAACAGAAGTTTAAAAACAATGAAGACAAATATAGGAAAAAGAAAACTAATCATGCTTAAAGCTGAGAACAATGAAGAAAGAGATCTAGGAGAAATAGTAAAAATCACAGAAAGATATTACACAGACCTATACAGTTCTAAAAATGACCCACCACTATCATCTAAACAGAATCTCACGAGGAAAATACAAAATGTTGGCTCAGAGGTATTACCAGAAATAACTGAAGATGAAATCGAAAAATCCATAAACGACATGAAAAGAAATAAAGCGGCCGGTGAGGACAAAATACTGGCGGAACTGCTAAAAGAAGGAGGAGACACGATAAAAAAAATGCTAAAAATACTGTTCAACAAATGTCTGTTTGAAGGTAAAATACCCAAACAATGGAGAAATGCCAACACAATCTTAATACAT